AAAATACAAATCTATCTACTTCTATTTTAATTTATATTTACATTAAAATTTTATTCTACCTAAGGTTGCTCATATTCTTATAAAACCAACCAAAATTGAGGAGTTTATAATCATATACCAATTGCATATAACAACTGTGAAGGGCTATAATCCCTATGTTCTGGCCTGCAGTAGTATTGTGTGTGCATCACATATAATTTAGATAATCTAAGGTCAAATATTTCTGGAAGTTCTCTGTCAATATACTGCTGCAACCATTTTTGAATTATCTTCAGCAAGATTTTACTTGCGTGTGATATTAATAGTATTGTTTGATAATTTCCGTATTCTGTGGGATCCCCTCTCTTTGGAAGATGGATCTCTTCCAGTCAGTTGGTAGCTGTCTTCCAAATTTCTTGTCATAGATGAGTGAGTATCTCCAGCGTGGCATCCGTTTGTTGAAAGGTCTCAGTGGGTATTCCATCAATTCCTGGAGCCTTGTTCTTTGCCAATTTCTCTGGTGCAGCAGCAGTATATTGACAAAAAACTCCCGGAACTGCAAGCTGGATTCAGAAGAGGACATGGAATGAGGGCTATCATTGCTGATGTCAGATGGATCTTGGCTCAAAGCAAAGAATACCAGAAAGATGTTTGCTTGTGTTTTATTGACTGTGCAAAAGCATTTGACTGTGTGGATAATAACAAATTATGGATAACATTGAGAAGAATGAGAATTCCAGAACATTTGATTGTGCTCATCAGGAACCTGTACATAGACTAGGAGGCTGTCGTTCAAACAGAACAAGTGAATATTACATGGCTTAAAATCAGGAAGAGAATGTGTCAGGCTTGTGTCCCTTCGCCATACTTCTTCAATCTGTATGCTGAGCAGATAATCTGAGAAACTGGACTGTCTGAAGAAGAATGTGGCATCAGAATTGGAGGAAGACTCATTAACAACCTGCAATACACAGACGACACAACTTTGCTTGCTGAAGGTGAAGATGACTTGAAGCACTTACTGATGAAGATTAAAGAATTCAGTCTGCTGTATGGATTACACCACAACATAAAGAAAACAAAAATCCTCATAACTGGACCAATAAGTGGCATCACAATAAATGGAGAAAAGATTGAAGTTGTCGAAGATTTCATATTACTAAGTTCCACAATCAACACCAACAGAAGCAGCAGTCAAGACATTAGACAACGCATTGCGCTGGGCAAATCTGTTGCAAAAGACCTCTTTTTGAAGTGCTCAAGGGCAAAGATAAATTAAAAAAAAAAAATATCTCTTTGAAAACTAAGGTGTGCCTAACTCAAGTCATGGTATTTTCAGTGCCTTATATGTGTGTGACAGCTGGACAGTGAACAAGGAAGAACGAAGAAGAATTGATGCTTTTGAATTGTGGTGTTGTTGAGGAATACTGAAAGTACCATGGACTGCCAGAAAAATGAACAAATCTGTCCTGGAAGATGTGCAGCTGGAATGTTCCTTGGAAGAGATAATGGCCAGACTTCGTCTCACCTACTTTGGTCATGTTGTCAGAAGGGACCATTCTCTGGAGAAGGATATCATGCTTGGTAAAGTGAAGGGTCAACAAAAAAGGGGAAGGCCCTCAACAAGATGGACTGACACAGTGGCTGCAATGATGTGCTCATGTATAGCAAGAGGCTGGTACAGGACAGGGCAGTGTTTTATTCTGTTTACACAGGGTCACGATATGTTGACTCAACAGCACCTAACAACAACGCAAAAACAAGGTCAAATAATTAAAAATTTTCTTTATTTGATGTCTTAATGAATTTTTGATAGACTTTCATTGTGTGGTTCGTAAAAGGTTCAAGAATTTTGAGAGCTAATTACTCATGTAAAAGTTCAAGTTTTATGGGAGCTAATCAGTCTTAAAAAGGTACCAACCATGTAGATGATGTACTTCAAAACAACTCTAGTTTTTCCCCTAACAATTACAAAAATAAAGAATATTTGTTGTGCAAACTTTTAAAAATACAAATAAAAATTACTATGGAATTTCTGGTGGCATCAGAATCCCACCATTTCTGATAAGAAAAAAAAAAAATACAGTTAACCCTTTGGAGTATAGTTAACTCTTTAACTCTAATTTTTTTGATATGTCCCCAAACATGAAGGATATTATATGACATAGCATTTTTGATATGTCCCCAAACATGAAGGATATTATATGACATAGCATTTTTATGTTATTTGTTTTAATACTATTTTAAATGTCTACATACTATTGCAGGGAGGGAGCTCTGGTAGCGTAGTGCCTAAAGGCACTTGACTGCTAACCAGAAGGCTAGCAGTTCAACCCTACCAGCCACTCCTCAGAAGGAAGGTTGGGTAATCTACTTCTGTAGTGATACTGCCTCGGAAACCCAAGGAGGGTCGCTATGAGTCGGGTCCGACTCGATGGCACATAACAACAACAACAACAACATAGTGTTGCATGTTATAGATGTACCATTATCTAATCATTCCTCTATTGTTAGACATTTCATTTCTAATTTTCCATTATTTAAGTAATCTATTGTGAACATATTTACACTTAAATTTTTGCATGTCTCTGATTTCTTATAATGAATTCCTAGAATTGCTAGGTCATTGGTGTGAAGGTTTTTAAAGACTTTTTATTCATGTTCCTGAGTTACCTATTGAAATGATTATCCTTCTTTCCACTTTCACCAGTAATAAGAATGCCCAATTCCCTATATCCTTGTTAATATTAGTTTTTATTATTTAAAAAAATTATGATCAATTTAATCAATAAAATGTTCTCAGGTGCAGTTTTATTTAGTGCCATTTTTAAAATATAAGCACAATTACTTTATGAACTCTCTCAGCTTACTTCTGGCAAAGAGGGCTAGTATAGTAAGCTGCAGTATACATAGATTGCGGTATTTGGGTTATATACTTACAGATTTTTTTTTTCTGCCACCCAGTGCCAAAGGTACAACTTTGTTAGGAGACCAATCAGCACAAGTCCAAATGTAGCCCAAAGACCAGGCAAGGGAGCCCCCTAGCTATGGTAATTTGCAAACATTTTTAGACCTGTTTTTGTTTCTGCAATTCTGTGTGAAGAAATAGGGAATTCAGAAACAGAACAAAACTATCTGCTAAGTAAACCATATTGGAAATGCTTTAGATGTAGGTTTTTATAATTATATTGATTGTATGGGGGAATGTCAATTGATTATATACATATGTTATATACATACATATATACATGTGTATATTTATGTGTGTATTTATAAATATATACACATATATGTTATACACATATATGCTTGAGTGTGTGTATCTGTGTGCGTGTGTATATATATATTTACATAGATATATAATACATACATGTATAACATCATGCTTTGTGAAGCAGAGGGTCAGCTAAAAAGAGGAAGACTCTCAATGAGATGAACTGACACAGCGGTTACAACAGTAGGCTCAAACCTAGCAGTGACTGAGAGGATAGCACAGGACCAAGCAGCGTTTCATTCTGTTGTACATAGGGTCACTATTATTTGGAACTAACTCAGCAGCACCTAACAGTATATATACGAAAGTGTAATATATATTATTTATATATATATAACATGTTATGTTATGTTATGTGCCGTTGAGTCGGCCCCGACTCATAGCGACCCCTCCTTGGGTCTCTGAGGCAGTATCACTATGGAAGTAGGATTGCCCAACCTTCCTTCCGAGGAGTGGCTGGTGGGTTTGAACCACCAACCTTCTGGTTAGCAGTCAAGTGCCTTAGCCACTATGCTACCAGAGCTCCTATATATATATATAGATATATAGATATATATAGATATATAGGCATAGCCTCCAGCCTCACAGTAACACACAAACCACCACAATACGGGAAACTGACAGACAAGTTTGTCTCCCTTAGCTGTTCGAAACATCTCTGCCCTTCCCTTACCTGGATCTCATGGCTCTGTCATACTTGGCTTTCCCTCCACCCCTTCTTGTCTCTTGGGTGAGGCCTGTCTCCCTCGCCTTACCTGGCGCCCTTGGCTCTGTCTCATTCTTGGCTCTTCCCCTGCTTCCTGCCTCTTGGTGTGGGATAGTATATGCTAACCAGAAGGCTGGAGGTTCAAAGCCACCAATTACTCCTCAGAAGGAAGGTTGGGCAATCTACTTCTGTAGTGATACCACCTCAGAAACTCAAGGAGGGGTTGCTATGAGTCGAAATCAACTTGATGGCAGAGAGTTTTGGTTTTTGATTAGGGTCTAAAGAATTTTATACACATTTTGGTATATATATATAATTGGTATATTATACATACCGAACCAAACCTATTATGCTCAACTTCAATTCATGGTGACCACATGTGTTTGAATAGAACTGCTCTACAGGATTTTCTTGGCTGTAATCTTTATGGAAGCAGATGGTCGGGCCTTTATTCTGTGATGGCACTGGGTGGGTTCCAATTGCCAACCTTTAGGATAATAGCTAAGAGCAAACCATTTGAGCCACCCAGGGACCTCACATATATTCGTTGTTATTGTTGTTAGGTGCCGTTGAATTGATTCCAATTCCTATCAACCCTATGTACACCAGAACGAAACACTACCTGGTCCCATGTCATCTCACAATCATTGCTATGTTTGAGTCCATTGTTGCAGCCACTATGTCAATCCATCCCGTTGAGAGTTTTTTCTTTTTCATTGACCCTCTACTTTACCAATCATGATTTTCTTCTTTAGGGACTGGTCCTTTCTGCTAACATATCCAAAGTATATGATTACATACATGCATTCTCCTTCATGCTTGTAAAATGCATGGAGTATTTCTGGAAGAAAATATAGAAATTGTTAACAGTAGCTGCCTTTGAGGTAGAAGACTGAGGCTGGGGCAAGATGGGAGAGACTTGTAACTGTATTCCCCCTTTTAAAAGTTTTATTACAATAAAATATATGTAAGAACACATTAGTCATTCAATTATTCTTATATGTACAATTCAGTGACTTTAACTTACTATGTCCATCTCCTTTTGGTACTCTCTATATTGTGTAACATGTGAGTATTACTTTTTAAAAATATGTTAACATGTAACTTCAAAAGTTTCAATGAATGGCATGTACCAGGACTTATCACCCACAACTAAAACTTCAATAAAATAGGAGCTCAAGTTATAATGATTTTTTTTTGTTTTTTTTTTTTTAGACCTTTGTGTCACTTCAGTGTCAAAAGGAGGATTTGAAAGGGAAGAAAGAGCAACATTTGCACTACTCTACAGATTGAGAAATATCCTATTTGAAAGAAGTATGTCAGTTGAAGTATTTTGAATGTATTTTTTCTTCTTGGATTTACACATGCGGTTATTTATTCAGTAATCCTGTTTCTTAAGGAAGAATTTCAACTTAAAGCCAAATAATTTCATCATTGAGTGGTTGAGACTCACATATTTGGAAGTGAAGTGAATAAATATTTTTTATTTTGACTTCTAACACATTTCTCTGTTTTTATCCTTTTAGATAGAAGAGTAATGGATGCCATTTCTCGCTCACAGCTTTACTTGGATGATCTTGTTTCTGACTTCTATGACAAACCTCTTAGTATGACTGATATTTCACTCAAAGAAGGCACTCACATCCGAGTCAATTTACTCAATCACAACATTCCAAAAGGCCCTTGTATACTCTGTGGAATGGGGAGCTATAAAAGGGAGACTGTTTATGGTTGTTTTCAGTGTTCTGTCGATGGACAGAAGTATGTGAGACTTCATGCAGTTCCTTGTTTCGATATTTGGCACAAGAGAATGAAATAAAATGACAAATGAATATTCCTTGCTGGTGTTTTAGGTGCAGTTGTGCCATAGACCTTTCCAAAATTATCTAAGTTTGCTTTAATGAATTGTGGCAAATTGTGTAATAATGTTTACTATTAAAAAAAAAGTTTTACATACAAATTTTCCAATATAGATGTTACTTCATAAAGTTTGCAAGTCACTTTAGAAACAATTTTTTGGGATGTTTATCATTTTAGATAACTATTTCTTCCACAAGACAATTTTTTCTGAATATCAATTTTTGTTCTTTATTGTGATAATTAAATTTGTAACAAAACATTTGCCATTTCAGCAATCTTCACAGGTATAGTTCACTGACAACAATTATGTACATCATGTTCCACACCATCAGCTTTCTTTTTAATCAGTCTTTAATCCAACATTTAAAGATGACTTGAGTGCACAGGTAATGATATTATGGTGCTTTAACTTTTGCCCTTTGGTAAAACGAGAAAAATGTGTTAATAATTTAATGTAATCCTAAATGTTTAATTGCAGTGTCAAATTAAAAGCACACTGAGCTCAGCATGGGGTTTTGTGTACACAGTTTATGGGGTGACTGATAGTAGTGATGGGCCGCCATTCTGTGATGTACATGTCTCTAGTTGTCTCCATAAAACTCACTATTGTCATTTTAAAGTTAAGGCAGATAGGATATGTCCACTCCTTTTCTTCTTTGAAAATGTTTAAAACGTTAATATATTTTGTTCTGAAAGATCCTTTTTATCTACTCTTTAGGACAACCAAATATTTCATACACAAAACCAAAAATAATTGTAAAAATAATGCTGAAATTCTAAAACTCAACATGTATAGTTATAGGACACAGTACTATGTATATGTATGTAAAGACATAAAGCAATCATAAAAATCATAAAGCAGGTACAAAACACTTGTATGAATATGTATATAGAATGGTTGAAAATCTATTTTTCAATTTTAATTCGATTACCTAAATATGAATTGTTTTAGAGTAAATCTTCTCCCTATTCATTTAACATTCATAATTTCAAAAACATGTTTCAATGTACTTTGTATGAAAAACAATGGGAAAGAAAGTTTAGAATTATAAAGTTTATACTACAGAGCAATTTCCATGTACATTTTCTTTTATGGTATTTTTGTTTTCTTTTGGACAGAGTATTGATGCAATTATGAGTATATAGATCAAAAAGCTGTTAGTGAACTTTTAATATTAAGAAGGTGGCAGTTTCCAAATCAAAATATAAAAATATTGTGTTTCTATCAACTTAGTTTATTTCAACTGGGCAGATTTTTCTAAAGGAAGTAAAGGGATGAAAGAGTTGACTGAGCAAGTGAGATGTTACAAAATTGGGGTATGTTGTTATTGTTATGCCATCTAGTCGGACCCTACTCATAGTGACCCCTCCTTGGGTTTCCGAGGTAGTATAACTACGGAAGTAGATTGCCCAACCTTCCTTCCGAGGAGTGGCTGGTGGGTTTGAGCCACCAGCCTTCTGGTTAGCAGTCAAGTGCCTTAGGCAATATGCTACCAGAGCTCCTAAATTAGGGTATAGAATTAATAAATATTAGGAGGAAAGATAGTAATAGGGTTTTGTTTTATGAAGTGTAAAATTCTGAGTCATGCATACATAATATCTACTAACCTGGTGGTTTTTGTGTTACCCCTACAGTATGAACAGAGGTTCTGACAGCATATCTAAAGTGGTTGAGAGATGAACAATGGCTTGGAAAGAGCAAATTTCAGAAAACAGAAAAAACTTTACTAGTTTTAAATTCAGCTGAGTTTAAAATTATTTATTACAGTGATCTATAAAATCAGATTATTTATTGCTATCTGAGCATACTTTCCTTCATATTCAGTAGGCAAAATCTTTCCTACTCTGACAAATATGTACCTTTCTTTGGCATCAACTTGAACTTTTGCAGCATCTATTATCTCCTATTCTCAACAAGTCAGAATATGTCATGATTTGACCAGAACACAAAATTGCCACGGTAGTTTACCCTCATTTGTAGCAAAATAAATTTTACACATTTGTCAAAATGCAATGACAGCATAGCAGTTTGTAATGATCATTCATTATTAATGACAAGAGTGTTGTGAAATGAAGTGACATAAGAAGGAGATATCTAGATAAGGGATCTGAAAACTAAGACATTCCATAGCATCAGTTTAAAACAATCATGGCAAAAATTCAGGAGTGGTAGGTATCTTACAAAGACCTACAAGAGGAGTAGTGCATTTATAATGATGTTTGAAGAATAACAGTAGAGATTTTGTAAGATAGAGGCATAAAGTCTTCGGTCTGCTCAAATATCATTAAGCATTTCCAAATAGAACAAATATCCAAGGGCAGAGGCTTGCATCCAAAGTACAGAGACAGTGTTGAGGTTCTCTGGGGGACAGGGATACACAACTATCTTCCTGCATGCATTATTAAGAGACTTTTCAATTCTATGATTTTTATATCCTATTATTAGTAATGTTACCAACAATTTGATAAAAAGAAAAGGGGGGAAAAAAGAAAAGATTGACAGCCTTGGAAACCAGTGGGTATCTCTACCCTGCTATGTAGGGTTGCTTTGAGTCTCATTGATCTGACAGCAATGGGCTTTTGCAGGATAGCGACCCCACCCTGGGTTTCTGAGGCAGTTATCACTACAGAAGAAGATTGCCTGATCTTCCTTCTGAGGAGTGGCTGGTGGGTTTGAACCCCTAGCCTTCTGGTTAGCAGTAAAATGCCTTAGGCACTACGCCACCAGAGCTCCCATTATTAGTAATGTTACGAACTGTATATCCTGCAAAAACCCATTGCTGTCAAATCAATAAGACTCAAAGTGACCCAGTATGGTAGGGTAAAGCTGCCCCACTGGTTTCCAAAGCTGTCAATCTTTTTTTTTGTTGTTGTTGCTCTCTTTTTTCAAATTATTGGTAAATATCTATTTATTTATTTATTTTGGTGATTTGGGTGCAAATTACCAAGCAGTTTTGTTTTACTCTCATCAGTTTATGGTTTCATGGCTCTGATTACAATTCCAACAATAAAAAGCTCTCCTCCCATCTCCTCCCTTCAACCACCCCCTCGCCGTGTCCTTCTTATTTATGCATTCCTGTCTGTCCAGCTTTTCCTCTATGCAAATGCTGCCCTTCTGAAGTCCCATGGTTGATTGATCTAAGGGATGCATCTCCCTGGGGCAGGTGGGTGCATCTCTTTGGGGTAGGTGTTCTGCTTGCAGGCCTTTCTACTGTTTGGCTGAGAGCTAATCTGCGGGATTGAGTTCAGTTCCAGGCCCAAAGGACAACCCAGGGCCATAGTCTCAGGGTTTCCACTAGTCTCTATCCAACTAGTAATTCTGGTCGTTTTTGTTTTCAAATATTGCTCCACATTATTCCTCCCATTCTATACAGGATCTCCAATTTTGATCCCTTTCAGAGTGGTTGGCATTGGTAGCTGGGCACCATCTAGTTCTTCTGGTCTTAGGGTCATTAAGGTTGAGATCCTCGTGTGGCCCATCATACATTTGGACTAATTGTTTCCATTATGACTTTGATTTTCTTCACTCTTCTTTGCTCCAGATGAGGGGAGACCAATAGTTGCATCTTAGATGGCTGCTTGAAAGCTTTTAAGAACTCAGTTGCTACTCACTACAGTAGGAAGTAGAACAAGATTTTTATGTACTACATTGTGCCAGTTGGGCTTTGTCCCCCAAGGCCATGGTCCCAAGCCCACAGGCCCATGACTCTCTCCCTCAAGGTGCTTGGTTGTCACTGAGAAGCTACTTCAACCTTGTCTCGTTAGTTCTATAATGTATATGGATATTTTTGTAGCACAAACACATATGTTAAGAATACCATCAGCCAAATCTATCCATAAAAAAAAAAAAAAAAACCTATCCATGGGTATATTCCTGTTCACTTACCCACACCTGCTCTTCTCACCTGTCTATTCATTTACCCATAGATTAGTGTTTGCTGCCACTGCCATGACTGTAAATCATTATGGAAGCAGGCTGCCATCTTTTTTCTGTGGAGAAACTGGTGAGTTTGAACTGCCAATCTTTCAGTTAGCCACCGAGCCCTTAACCACTGTATAATCAGGGCTCCTCATGAAATAAACATGTGAAATGATCATTCTTGGGTCCTTAATAAATACATTTTTTAAATGGGGCATGTTAACATTTAAAACACTAAAAATGCATACTTCCATATTTATACTTGCTCTTAAGGTTAGAGAACTTGCAGATTTTGACGCATATGCATGCCTACATCCTGAGGGAAAATTGCCCACACAGAGGTCAATGGGGTATTTCAAGATGCTGCAATTTGTGTCCACAGAATAAAGGACTAGTAAACAATCACTACCACTTTCTGGAAAGTTAAGTTTGAAAAATTAGCCTCACATTTATTGTACTAAAATTACATGCATTGATGGGGATCAAAATAAATTTGATGGGGGGAAAATATTAAACTTGGAGAAAAGTTACTTTGTTTTATTTATAAAAGTACAATATGTAGCTAAGAAAATGTAGAAATACAAATATGCTATAGCTCATCATGCTGATATACATTGTATTCCTTGGAAGAAATGAAGCCATCACCATCATGGTCATTCTTCTTGAAAATATCTTCTAAAACTGCATTCTGATAGGACTTGTCATGTGGCTTCTCATCTTTTTCAAATTCCTTTTCCAAGTAATGATTTATCTATAGAGGCAAAATACCACATATTTAATAAAAAGATACTATAATAAATTTTTAATAACTTTGAGGAATGTTTATATAATGAAACCCATGTCCAAGATTTCTTACAGTGATACAAAATTTTATAAATCTATTTCAAGTTTTATTTTTTAACCTTTGAAGCAATTTTCTGAAAAGTAAAAGGTCTTCAAATTAATTTCCCTGAGCTGACTGGTGATGAGTGCTCCATTTTCAAAATGTACTCAGTGGGACTTAAGTAAGGCATGAGGCTTCAATAGGACAAGCATTGGCCCGAAACTTTCATGATGGGTATTCCTTAGAAGGGAGCCCCTGGGTGGTGTGCAAATGGGTAACACACAGGGCTGCTAACCAAAGGGTAGGAGGTTCAAGTCTACCCAGAACGCCTCAGAAGAACAGTCTGGCAATCTTCTTCCCCCAAATCAGCCACTGAAAAACTTACAGAGCACACCTCACCCTGACGCATATGGGGTCACCCTGAGTTGGAAGTGACATGATGGCAACTGGTATTTTTTTTTTTTCCAGGGAGAAAGGTGATTGAACAGGAATGATCTATTTATAGGTTTTATATTTGAAAAGCACATTTTCTTCTCAGGGCTTACATTTTTTTAGTAACCAACTCTATAAAAGCAAAGTGATCAGTGCCCATACTAGCTAAAACTAAAAAAGTAGTAGTTAAAACATAAACCAAAAACCAAACCCACTGCTGTCAAATTGATTCCAGTTCATAGCAACCCCATAGCACAGAGCAGAACTGCCCTATAGGGTATCCACAGCTGTAATCTTCACGGAAACAGACTACCACATTTTTCTCCCAGAATGGCTCATGGGCTCTAACTACTGCCCTATCAGTTAGAAGCCAAGCATTTACCACCTGCACCACCAAGGCTCCTTAGTTATATCATAGATGTATTTAAATTATGATGAAAAAATTAGGCTGTACACAATGAAAGTGGAATTACCTCGTCTTTAGAGAGTTGCCTGTCACTGTCCACGTCTATTTGCTTAAATGTTTCAATGCTCCGTGGTCCTTTGGTCACAGCGTAAAGTTCAATCTCAAAAATCAGTGTTGCATCAGGAGGAATCTTGCCTTCCACTAAGAGCGTAAATTATAACAGTTTTATTTACATGAAAACAATTTTCAGTTATTTATTTACAAATAGCCATAATAGTATTGATTATATTACATTTATAACAACTATTTTCAAGTAATTTTTAGAAATATTCTTTCCATATGCTTTTAAACCACAAGTTTAAAAAGGACCCAGAGGACCACTATTTTTGATTAAATTAAAATATAAATCATGTAGTGTTTGTTAATACTACTCTATCATTTTATATAGGAATTTAACGAGAGAGGTGATTTAGAGAAGAAATGCATGGATAGAAAAATTTCAAAGTATAGATCAGTAATCTCTCTGACAATATAGGTATTTGGAAGCATAAATCAATGTATTTGTCCTTCAAATTCTTTTTTTTTTTTCTGAATATTTTATTGGTCACTAGGTCAAAGTTTACATAGCAATAATTCATACACAAATTGTTCTGTGCCATTTGTTGCAGTCCCCACAATGTGTCAGCACTCTTCCCATTTCTTCCCTGGGTTCCCTGTTTCCATTGATCCAGTTTCTCTGTCCCTCCCTGCCTTATCTTTGGTTTTGGGCAAATGCTGCCCTTTGATCTTATATAGCTAATTTTTCTAAGGAGCATATTCTTCACAGGTGTTATTATTCACTTTATATGCCTATTATCTGGCTGAAGGAGGTCTGGTAGCACAGTGCCTAAAGCATGTGACTGTTAACCAGAAGGTTGGTGGTTCAAACCCACCAGCCACTCAATGGAAAGAAGACTGGGCAATCTACTTCCGTAAAGATTTGTTGTTGTTGTTGTTATGTACTGTCAAGTCAGACCTGACTCATAGAGACCCCCTGGAAACCCAATTGGGGTTACTATGAGTTGGAATCAACTCGATGGCAGTGGATTTGGTTTGGTGTATTATCTGGCTGAGAGGTAGTCTCCAGAAGGTCTTGAGTTTCAAGTTGCTTAGGGCAATTGTCTCAGTTCCTCCAGAAAGTACCAATTGTCTGGTACTTTCAGACCAGTAATTCTGGTCTTTTTTTTTCAATTTGAATTTTGTTCTGTATTTTTACCCATTCTAATTGGGAACATCTCCTGTGGTCCCAGTCAGCATGGATGGTAGTGGTAGCTGGGTACCATCTAGTTCTGGAAGCTGTGGTTCATGTGGGCTATTAGTTCTTTGGACTAATTGCTTCTCTGATTCTCCCATTTTCTTCATTCTCCTTTGCTCCAGGCAGGAGGAGACCGATAGTTGCTTCTTAGATGGCCATTCGCAACCTTTTAAGACCCCAGAAGCTACTCAGCAGTCTAACATGTAGAACGTTATCTTGCCAATTGACCTAGATGTACCCTGTGACCTAGATGTTCTTAGCCTTCAAGTCCGGTAGTTCAGTCCAGATGTCTAAGTAGTTTCTATAATTGTGTCCTCTACTGTGCTCTGTTATATATATGAGTACACATGCAGTATTTACAAATATGTAGAAATATCCACAACCATGCCTATATGTACACAGGTGTACTCCCATACAACATCCCTCTCTATTTAGCATATATATTTACCTATGTATCTACTCGGGAGCTCTGGTAGCATAGTGGCTAAGGCACTTGACTGCTAACCAGAAGGCTGGCGGTTCAAACCCACCAGCCACTCCTCGGAAGGAAGGTTGGGCGATCCTACTTCTGTAGTGATACTGCCTCGGAAACCCAAGGAGGGGTCGCTATGAGTCAGGGCTGACTTGACGGCATGTAACAACATCAACAACATGTATCTACTCAAAAATTATTATTAATGTTGTTGCAGGATGTGTACGTTATAGCATTTACCATAAAACCAAAAGCCAAACTCATTGCCATTGAGTCAATTCTGACTCATAGTGACTCCCACTGGGTTTCGTAGGTGGTAAATCTCTATGGAAGTAGATTGCCCTATCTTCCTTCCATGGAGTGGCTGGTGGGTTTGAACAACTAACCTTCTGGTTAGCAGTTAAATGTCTTAGGCACTACACCACCAGAGCTCCTTGCATGCTTACCTTTCATCATCTTCCTTTACACTGGTCACAGTGTGCTGACTTCCTTCATACTGTGTATTGCCTTTCCCTTTACCATAATTAACACTTGTGTACTTATCTGGTTAGTAGTTGCTCCCTTTGTACCCCTCCCATTCCTAGTAACCATCAAAGAATGTTTTTTTTTTCTGTGTGTAAATCTTTTGATTTTATAATAATGGTCTTGTACAGTATTTTTCCTTTTGTGATTGACTTATTTCATTCAGCATAATGTCTTCCAGATTCATGCATGTTGTCAGATGTTTCATGGATTCATCATCATTCTATATTGTCACTTAGTATTCCACTCTATATATGTACCACCGTTTACCCATTCATTCGTTGATGGACATTTAGATTGTTTGCGTCTTTTCGCTAATTGTGCATAATGCTGTGATAAACGTGTGTGCTTATATCCGTTTGCGTCACAGCTCTTATTTCTCTAGGATATATACATAGGAATGGAATTGCTGGATCATATGGTATTTCTATTTCTAGCTTTTTAAGGAAGTGCTAGACTGCCTTCCATAGTGGTTGTACCATTTTGTAGCATATGAGTTCTAATTTCTCCATAGCCTCGCCAGCATTTATTGTTCTGTTCTTTAGATCAGTGCCATTATTGGCCAATTGAGATGATATCTCATTGTAGTTTTGAATTGCATCTCTAACGGCTAATGATTGCAGGCATTTTCTCATGTATGTTAGCAGCCTGAATGTCTTCTTGTCTGTTCATGTCCTTTGCCATTTTTTAAGTAGATTGTCTTTTTGTTGTTGAAGTGTTGAAGTTTTCTTTAGAGATTAGACCCTTGTCAGATATGTCAGATATACCCCCAATTTTTTCCCAGTCTGTGGGTTCTCCTTTTACTCTTTTGGTGAAGTCTTTTGATGAGCATAAGTATTTAATTTTTAGGAGGTCCCAGTTGTTCAGTTTGTGTTTTTTTATTTTTAGTTATGTTTGATAGTTATATATTAGGGTCCCTATGTTTGTCTCTATGTTTTCTTCCATAAACTTTATGGTTTTAAGTTTTGCATTTAAGTTTTTGATTTATTTTGAGTTACTTTTTATGTATGGTATGAGGTATGAACACTGTTTCATTTTTCTACAAATGTATATCCAGCTTTGCCACCACCATTTATTAAAGAGACTATTTCTTCCTCATTTAATGGACTTTGACCCTCTGTCGAAGATCAGCTGTCCATGGGTGGATTGGAATTCTTTATTGTTAGGTGCTGTCAAGTGAGTGACTTATAGCAACCTTGTGTACAACAGAACGAAACTCTGTCTCATCCTGCACCATCCTCACAATTGTTGCTATGCTTGAACCCACTGTTGCAGCCACTGTGTCAGTCCAACTCATTGAGGGTCTTCCTCTTTGTTGCTGACCCTCTATTACCAAGTCCTTCTCCAGGGACTGGTCCCTCCTGATAATATGTCCAAAGTATGAGAGGCAAAGTCTTGTCATCCTCGCTTCTAAGGAGCATTCCAACTATACTTCCTCAAAGACAGATTTGTTCGTTCTTCTAGCAGTCCATGGTACATTCAATATTCTTCACCAACACCACAATATAAATGCATCACTTCTTCTGCTGTCTTCTTTACGCAGTGTCCAGCTCTTACATGCATGAGGTGACTGAAAACACCATGGCTTGGGTCAGGCACACCTTAGTCTGCAAAGTGACATCTCTGCTCTTAAAAATTTTAAAGAAGTCTTTTGCTGTGGATTTGCCCAATGCAATACCCAATGCAATACATCATCTGATTTCTGTCTTAGTCTGGAAGCCCTGCTGAACACTATCCACCACGAGTGACACTGTTGGCATTTGAAATACTGATGCACAGCTTAAAGTTTGGAGCTTGGGTCACTATTCCTAGGGTCTCACATAGTGCCTGGTCCATTACAAACCAAAGCACTGTCATTAAGTCAGATCCGACTCATAGTGACCCCTCCTTGGGCTTCTGAGGCAGTATCACTACGGAAATAGATTGCCCAACCTTCCTTCGGAGGAGTGGCTGGTGAGTTTGAACTGCCAGCCTTCTGGTTAGCAGTCAAATGCCTTAGGCACTATGTTAACTCACTGCCATCGAGGCAAACCTGACTCATAGCGACCCCTCCTTGGGTTTCTGAGGCGTTATCACTACAGAAGTAGATTGCCCAACCTTCCTTCCGAGGAGTGGCTGGTGGGTTTGAACCACCAGCCTTCTGGTTAGCAATCAAATGCCTCAAATATTTGTTGAATGAATGGCCCATATTGTTTGTATTTAAAATGGCTGTTTGTCCTTTGAAGAAAACAGCAATTTCTTTAATGAAAAAGTAGAAAATTCTTATTAACAGATTTATAATTCAAAGAGAAAAGAGCTTGTAGCTACAGCCAAAAGGAGAGATGGATCAATAATCTCCAAAAAGCTAGGACATAGAAAAATCTATCCATGCGTCATGAGGTTAATATGAAAGTTCAACCTAATGCCCAACATACATGACCTTATGGTAAAAGAACCAGAGATTGTAATTCAGTGATTATTTTTATAATATTAATTCCTATTCTGTCCAGTTACGATCTCATTATGACAGAAAAACAGCTTCTCATTGCAGAACACAAATTCAAATTTCTTAAGAAAAAAATGTTTCTGAAGAATTCTACTGTAAACACAGAAAATATTGCTAATTTATTTTTTTCTTGCAAAAAAGTATATAAAAAGTAGATCAAAGCAGCAGGTGTTAATGTAAAGAATCTATACATACCGCATGAAGAGTTAATTAAAGCACTAAAAAGTCACATGCATTTCAAGACATGCAGGGGTGCTCTGTGACATGAGGTAAGGATGTTGCACAGAGGAAAGACTTCAAGTATGACCTAAAATAAAGTTATAACTGATGTTAGGTCTTAGTAATAACTTAAAACAGCTTATTTAATCAGGTGGTTGTTAAACAGCAGCTTTAAAAATGATCTAACCTAAACTACTATAATGCAGGTAGGCTAGCATCTGACTATATTCCAGTGAACACATTTAACTTTTCTGGACCTCAGTTGCCTTATGTGTAAAATGAAGATGTGGATATAGATGGGCTTCAAGGCTCTTTCAGGATTAAAATTCAGTGATTCATTAAAAACTTATGTGTGGGTATGTCAATGTATCCCACAACAGTGTTGTGAACCTTGAGCTAAGACACAGCTAATATAAATTGCTGAAGAAGTTGAATAAATTTGTAACTGTAAAGCTGAGTCTGCTGGCTTTTCCATGCATTTGCCTACGTGATATGTAATCAACTTTTTTATTTTTGATAAAATGATGGGTAGAAAATGGTGTCTCATTTTTATTTTCATTTCTCTTTCTTTAATTTTGGATGAAATTAGGAATTCTCATATATTTAAAGGCCATTTGTATATTTTTTGTCAGTGAAACACTTACTTATGAACTTTGCCTGTATCTATTGTTGTTGTTGTTGTATGCCGCCGAGTCAGCCCCGACTCATAGCGACCCCTCCTTGGGTTTTCGAGGCAATATCACTACGGAAGTAGGATTGCCCGACCTTCCTTCTGAGGAGTGGCTGGTGGGTTTGAACCGTCAGCCTTCTGGTTAGCAGTCAAGTGCCTTAGGCACTATGCAACCAGAGCTCCTTGCCTGTATCTAGTGATAGGTTATTTTCCATCACTGGTTTGTAAGTCTTTGTGAGTTGCAAACATTTTCCCATTTATCAGCTGCTTTTAGGTTTTCAGTTCTTTTTACTGTACCTGTAACCCATTGCCATCAAGTTGATTCTGACCCATATCTACTCTATAGTGGCCTTTTAAGACAAGAGTAGAACTGCCACATAGGGTTTACAAGGCTGCAATCCTCACAGAGGAGCGCTGGTGGCACAAGGGTTAAGCATTCAGCTTCTAACTGAAAGGGTGGTAGTTGAACCCAGTAGCCACTCTGCAGGAGAAAGATGTGGCAATTGGCTTCTGTAAAGATGTACAGCCTTGGAAACCCTATGGGGTATTTCTATGTCAGGTCGCTATGAGTTGGAGTCAATTCAAAGGCTGTGGGTTTGGCACTGCTTACTGGACAGATGTGCTATGTACATTTATGTAATAGTTAATAATATAACATATACTAAAAACAAAAGTGCCTAAGGTAGAGCTTACAGAATATATGTTTTTTTTTTTTTTTTTATGAGTGCTGCCCTATGTGAGAGAAAGAACTCTGGCCAGAGATCTGGATTCCATGATGCTAATTATTTTATATGTAAAAAGAGGGGGCTAAACTAGATACGGAATACCTGGGTGTTACAAATGGCTAACACGCTTGCCGCTAACTGAAAGGTTGGTGCTTTGAGTCCACCCAGAGGCAATTCGGAAGCAGGTCTTGGTGGTCTTCTGAAAATTCAGCCACTGGGACCATGTGGAGCACATTTCTCCTCTGACACATACCGGGTCACCATAGGGGGGATCGACTTGAAGGCCACTGGTAAAAACTTGATAAAGGTAACTTCGTTGGACCCTACACTTCTGTGATGATTTCCTTTAGGATTTATTTTTAAATAGAATAAAAAAGAGAAATAAATATTAAAACACCTTACCGTAGCCTTCCTTTCCGTATGCAAATGAAGGCGGTATAATTACTTTTCGTTTCTCTCCAGGACACATATCCATCATAGCAATGTCTAATCCTTTTATTACTTGCCCAACACCAAGAACAAACCATTTGGGGTGGCCTTCATTTTGTGTTCGGCTGTAATAAAAAAAATAATACCTTGGTAAAATGATTTCAAGACAAATGAAATCAAATTTTAAAACAGAGCTGGGCATGTATTTATAACTTAAATTTGGAGTCCTCCCTAACCATCTGTTTTCTCATATTGACACTCATTCTGAACTCCCTATGGGGAATTTGGCTCAAACACCCCTTATAATAGCCAGTAATAGGTATGATGTGCCCAATGCTAGTCATCAGCAGTTTTCTCATCTTTTTTACTGTCATCTTTACAAAAATTATTCAACAGTTAACTTTTTAACTACCTAGTTGCACAGCTTGTACAAACCATTTAACCTCTGGGAAGGAAGGTTGGGCAATCTACTTCTGTAGTGATACCGTCTCGGAAAACCAAGGAGGGGTCGCTATGAGTTGGTCCGACTCGACGGCGCATAACACTAACAGATTAAAAATGATGGAATAGTTTAATTCAAAATGAATTCTAAAGTCATTTTAATAGTAATTTAAAATTTTATTTTTTCGTACTAAAGTTCTCTATGAAGAACTTTCCCCAATCCTCTTTTCATAGATCACAGCACAGATAGTGAGGCAGCAATTTTGAAGGATAAACCAAGTCAGACTAGGCAGTGGTAGGTATATGAGGGCAGGCAGGAGCACACAGGAGAAGCCACCAGGGAAAGCCACTGCTGTCATAAGTAAGCATCGCTACAGGCAGTATTTTGATTGAGTTTTATAAATCCCAAGCGTAGTAAGCAGCGGTGGTGGTTGGGGGTATGTGTGGATGCTGAAAATGTCCTGGCTCAACATTTTAATTAAGTTTAAATAAGTTTAAAAGTGATATTCAGTTAAGTAACTACTTATCTCTTCCTAGGAATAAAAGGCTCAACTCTTAACAAAGCAAGACCCACAGCAAGTATTTACGTTAGGCTTCTGCTTGACTGAGGGAGGCTAAATTCGTGCATCAACTGGCCTCGGGAGCAGTTCGTAACATTTCCTACCTGCAGTAGAATTTCACGCCGTCTTTGGCCAAGTAGCCATCGTAATGGGCATTTAGCAGGTCGCCCTTCTTGCTTGTTTTAGAGCAGTTTTCTGGACGATGCAAAACTTCTATTTTCACTTCGTCTATGCCCTCAGCTATCTTTTGTCCCATAATGGTAAAAAAGCCCCAAACGTGAAAAACAAAGACTAAGCTGAATAAGAAATGCATGGCTCCCGGAGTTGGCCTAGACACGTACGCCGAGCTCCGACTGGGGTGCCACTCGCACTCTGTAGTGGTCCCTCCTGCGGAATTCCGACGCGTGGCAGGCATTGTCTTACGTCACAAAGAGCCAGGACTAGGGCGCACCCGTGGCCCCGCCCCGACCCCGCCTCCAGCCACACGCTCAGCTTCTGAATTCGCTTCCGAGGGAGGCGGAGCCGGTGTTTCCTAGAGGATCCTCTCTTGGGTACTGGATCCTGGCCCTGGACTCTTTAGACTCTAAAGCAGCCCTGCGTTTTTGCACTTTTCTGGTCGCTAGGTCCGCGTATTTTACAGCCAGTTTCCTTAGGTTTCCTAAAATGAAACTAGCAAAGACGAGGTGTGTCAGCGGGGGCGATCATCTGTGACTCTTCGAGGTGTGTCATCCGAGGCCTTTATCCGTGGTTCTACGGAAAATAAACAACCTGATGCGGTTAGAGTGATGTTTCTGAGCGGGAAAGGCTTCTAAGGTTCCTAGAAAACTATAGGGTATGGGGGAGACAAAGAGCTCTGGTAGCGTAGTACCTAAGGCACTTGACTGCTAACCAGAAGGCTGGCGGTTCAAACCCACCTACCACTCCTCAGAAGGAAGGTTGGGCAATCTACTTCCGTACTGATACCGCCTCGGAAACCCAAGGAGGGGTCGTTATGAGTTGAGTCGGACTCCATGGCATATACCACCACCACCATCGGGAGATACTCCCCATGAAGAGAATAAGAAATAGGTTTGTGGTAGCTTTCTTAGAGCTTCTGGGATGTCCTTGAAGGCCTTTCTAGGGGTCAGAGGCTTGTATAAGCGGTTACACACTGAGCATCAAACAGTCTGAGAGTCATCAGGATGAGAATAAATACCCAACAGCCTTTGCTCCCTGGCCTTGTAAAAGGTGTTTCCCACCAGCCGCCTTGATGATTCCACACTTGCTGCTGGTTTGCATTTCTTTTTTCCACTTGCTCAGACCTGTTCTTGATTTGAGGGCCTACCCTGGTGTCACAAGTCAGTTGCTAACCAAAAGGTCAGTTAGAACCCATCAGCAGCAATGCGGTAGAAAGACCTGGCAATCTGCTCCCGTACGTTTTACAGCCTAGAAAACACTATGGGGCAGTTCTACTCTGCAACAAGAGGTCGCTATGAGTCGAAATTCACACACTGGGACCTAACAACAATAGGGCCGGGCATGTTGCTAATTATCCACCTTACATAGACCAGGAAACATGGCAATTACAGCATTGGGGTGTTTTAGTCCAATCACACAACTAATAGTCCTCTCCTCCAAATTTTAGTCTGGGAAATTTTCAAACATACAGAAAAGTTGAAAGTTGTTCACAGTTGTTAAATGATAGATTCTGGAGCCATAAATTTAACAGATTTTATCTGAGAGTAAACCAATTTGCTGCAGCAAGGAAGCCTGGCATTCAATGGGAGATACCAAAGATTTTGATATAAGAAACTTTGAGGAAATTAGTTGGGGCAAAAGGAAAAGGTGGATCATTTTAAGGGGAACAAGTTCTGCTAACCACAAGATTAGCAGTCAAACTCACCAGTCATTCTGCGAAAGGAAGATGGGGCAATCTACTACATAAAGATTTACGGCCTTAGAAACCGAATGGGGTTGCTAGGAGTGGCTATGAGTGGGAATCTACTGAATGACAGCGGGTTTGGTTTTTGGAAGTTGATGATTGGGCCAGAAGTCCTTTCTTTTATTTGCAATGGGTGCCAGGATTTATGATGAAGTCTCAGGAAGATGCAGATTTGGAAAATGCCACCAGTTAAGTAAGGTTTCTAGGTAGAAGACCCTGGGGCTGGTTGAAGGCCAGTAAACCCACAATCTAGATTCTATTAACATTTAACTATATTTGACTAGGAGCTCTGGTAGCATGGTGCCTAAGGCACTTGACTGCTAACCAGAAGGCTGGCGGTTCAAACCCACTAGCCACTCCTCGGAAGGAAGATGGGGCAATCTACTTCTGTAATGATGCTGCCTCAGAAACCCAAGGAGAGACTATGAGTCAAGTCCGACTTAAGGGCACATAACAACAACATATTTGACTTATCACATTTGCATCTGTCCATCTAACAATTCACCTTATTTGAAAGGGAATATCCAAAGACTTTTTACCCTAAACCTGAAGGCCTAGCTTGCAAAACGCCCTAAGTCTGAAAAATCATTGTAAATTAAATATGATGACTATCACTTCCAAGTTGTTGTTGTTATTTGCCGTCGAGTCGCCCCGACTCATAGTGACCCCTCCTTGGGTTTCC